TTAATAATTTTAACAAAGAGCGCAGAAGGGCCGGGGCAGCGTCGTTAAATTTTCAGCCCAGAAACGCCGTCGCTGATACGCTGGACGTCTTTTAAGAATGGCTCCGATAGCGGCGGGAGCTTTATTTGCGGAGCTTGCAGCGTAAGGGACGTTGGATATAAATAAATATTAGCTGAACGTGGTGCTTCGTTCCGCCCGGTGTAAGAGGAACAGATGAAAGCGAGCGAATTATGCGAAACATGACAGCCCGCGCTAATTCCGTCTGTCACGCAGGGAATGAGCGATGGGATATATATGATCATTTACGAGTTTCATCCGTCATTTTTGAAGTAAGGCAATGAAAGGGAAAGTTATGGTGTAACTCGACATCGATTTTACTGCAGGTTTTCATCTATTGATTTTCTCGTCTGTTTTATGTAATTTCATCATTTTATTGGAATGCGACGTTGAAGAGGTATGGAAATAATTATAGAACGTCGGGCATTGAGATTTCCATTTCACGTTTCTCTACATGGGTAATAAGCGAACACAACTGCGTAAAACCTGCAGTCGACGTGCACGTGATTTTTACTTAATAATCCTGAGATATTAGCATCTAATATCTCAACGCTCGCGCTCAATTTTCATTCGAATCGCGCCCGTTCCGGCCCGCAGAGACGGAGCCCGTCGCATCGAGTTCCAATGCAATTTCTCTACTCATTGCAGCGGGGGAAAGTATTCCGCGTGTATCGCGGATTGAGCCAGAAGTTAATCTTCCGTCGCGCGGTCCTTAATTTTTTACGAGCCCCTCCTTCCGGAAGTTTTGCATTTTTAATAACAGCACCGTCCCCGCATCCGTTGTATCCGCCAGACAGTAAATATTATACTCGTTTCGAGAGATTGCTCCCCCTGCATTATTTATGGCTCATCCAAACTGAAGGAAAGTAGCTCTAATAATAAATCCTTTCCTCTTCCGTAAGTACGAAACATCGTCATCCGGCTTAGCCATCCGTAATACTGTTTTCATCTCTCGGCTGGCGTTATTCTTACAGCCGCGGCAAAGGCGATTTGCGCGAGAATCGCGCAGGCCTAGGCCCCCTTCACGCATAAATAGTAGATTAAAGTCTCCGCCTTGCGCGCAGTTCGCCGACCGCGTGAGTCTTCTTCGAAATCCTAAACAAAATGGAAAATATTTGTAGGGATTTTATTATTTGCATCCGTTAGGATAAGAGTCCCACGTATCGCTGGCATTGATGATTTCATTTCACAAGATATACTACAAGGCCAACTCTCGATATGTATATAAATACTTTTCTCTGTTTTGTCTTAGCTCTCTGATCTCTCTATATTCTGATAGTCGCCACATATTTCGCATACATAAGTGAAGCTGCCTAGGATTTACTATAAAAGATGGAACTGGAAAAGTTTGTGAACCCGTCATCAGTGAGACAACCTGATATATCCGTGCCATAGAAGTGAAACTTCATTCTTCACCGACATCCGAAGAACAGAAAACTCTGTGAAATGGAGTTTTATCGCGAAGGCTGCCAACGTGTTCACTTGGAAGTCATTTTGACGATGAAAACCATCTAAAACTGAGCCGTGCATTAGACGCTGGGACGAGTGGAAGAGGTGAAACGGACACTTATATACAAATTCACGTGAAACTGACTAGGAGTGGGAAAGGTCAGGGCGTGTTGAACCTCTGTTACAGTTAGAACTGCCACGTAAGCTATTGTCAAACACATACACACATTCATATATATATATCTACAAACTCTGCAGTCATTGCACCTTATCATGATTCCTACTTTATTCGTTTCTGAGGTCAGTCACCTATCGCCTGTTTACAAGCAGGTGGCATTCGCACTCGCGATCTTACTCGCTCACCTATCAGCTGATAATAATTCAAGAAGTCACATATCAAACACATACAGGTAACTTGCCAATGAAAGACAAGTTAACATTAATCGCGATTTCATCGATTATCGGCACTTCTGAATTCGAAAACTACTGCAATAAACTGATGAAGAAAGATGTTTAGTGACATACCTATTTAGATACTAGTATCATTTAAGAATTGTAATAGTAAATTATAAATATTCTTTATCGTCTAATTACTTCCAGATTTCATCGTTCGTTATAGCGTCTACATTAGCACTTAACTCCGCATACTTTATTTCCTCCAGTTTCGATTTTCTGAAATGAATTGCTCTAGTAAACGAAAGGATCGAAAGCGCAAACAACCGCGCCGTGTTTGTTAGCGAAAGTACCGAAAGTGAGGCCCATCGATTCTAGAATTGGCCGTATAATTTCACGGGACAACGGAAGTTGTCATCGACAGCGTAGCCAGCGTAGAAGGATCGTCTCTGTTCCCGACGATTACGCTAGGAAAAGGAGACCGGACCACTTGCGTGCCTTAATTGTCTTTGCCGAGTGCACTCGACGTTCGCGGCAAGTAGGTTTCGCGATTTTCTGATGCGGGCCTGAAGATCGACGAGTACCGTCACGACGAGTGCACTCGAGCATAAACCGGCTGAATAATGAACTGCCGCGACGTATTACGAGTCACCGTCTACCTTTCCCGTTGTCCGTTAACGCAATCACAGCACGCCACTCGGTCCTTTTTCGCTCCCTCGAACTGCGCGACTTCACAGCGAGCCCTTCAAACGGCTTCGTCCACTAAGTTCCTTTCAATTTTTTTTCCCCGCCGTCGCGTGTAACCGCGCGGATTTTTCTTTTCAATCTTTTATAGCGTGGATTTTTCTTTTGAACCCTTTATCACGTGATTTTTCATCGCCACTATGCTTGTCGAATTTATTTCTCCATTAGTCATTCGCGCAGACCCGAGGGAACTTTGCGTTTGCTATGAATATACGTTTACTTTGAGAATAAAATATCAATAACAGAATTACTTTTTTTTATCTTTGACGAGTAACATCCATTTTTGTTGAATCGAGGTAATTAGAAATCTTTACTATGTATTTCGCTCGTCATTTTTTCGAAGTTTCGAAGATGAAGTTTGCATCTTTCTAGAATATAAGTAATATAATTTATTATTAAGAGATATTGAAAACTGTTTCAGTGAATTGAGAAGATATAGAAGTGATGTCTTGATTAAAGAAGTATTCATCAATGGATCACTTTCGGCTATAATGAAAGAGCGAACGTTATTCTAGGGCAGGACGTCAATTGTCTTCGGTCAATCGCGATCCAGATCACAGGTCATACCAGTCAACATCGGAAACCAAGCACGAAGAACAGAATTTCTTGCGCCATTTTACAGAACCTTCGCCCCCCGAGCAAAGAAACGAAAATAATCCTTCTTCCGTCCGGTCCGGGTTCCATTAATCAGACTTTTCTTTGCGCGCGTGACCTCGGTCGCCATTTAATTAAAGTCCTCCGCCGAAAAAATGCTTCGGAGATCCATTTACTCGGCTCCGACCGATTCCGAATGAAGCGAGAGCCCGCAAGAAGTAATAGACGCGCGAAAGTTGCATATAGAATGGATATACCTTCATGGACGGCAACCTAATGAAAGCTGGAGCTCGCAAAGGCGGAGATTTAATTAAAAAACACTGACAGCGTCGACCGCGATGGACGCTGTATATTTTCGAAAATTGAATGTACGGAATCGAAGTTGAATTTATTGAAAATGCATCGATTGCCCGAGAGAGCGCGGGAGCACGGCTTTTGCATCGCTTTGCTCGCTATTTTACCTCCCACTCGTATAATCATAACTTTTAATCATCACCCGGCTTTTTCGCTGAAAAGTATCGGCAGCGGAAATTATTAAATTTCGGCTTGATAAATAAATTAACGAATCTCTGTGACCCGAAATTGATTCGCAACGACCGATAAAAATTTGAAGCGCGACAGCTCTTGGTTTCGAGGAAACTCGGTAGGTGTACAGGCGAAACAAGATCAATGGGTAACGGATTATTAAGA